TTTTTCAGGAGAATAATAGATCTACTTTAGAAAGTATTACAGTATTATTCAATAGTAAAATCTTTATTTTATTTATAATACTGCCAAATGTTTTTTATCTTTAATAAGATTTTTGACATATGGCAGCATTAATAATGAACAAATTAATAATAAAAGGATATATAATAATACATAATTTTATATATTATTTAATTTTATTATAAATATGTTACCGATTAATCGATAACATATTCTATTACATATTTTATTATCATCTCATTCGAGATGATGTCTGTATTGATGTGTATGAATAAAATAGGCATAATATATTTTTAAATATTTTTTTAAAATAAAATTTTCTTTTTAATTAATTTGTTCTATTATCAGATGGAACACATTTTGAAAAAAATTGATGATCACAAAGTGGTCACGAAACAATTAATCGATTTTACAAAGATTTTATTAATATTTCAGTTTTTCTCTTTATTTTTTCTATAAACTTTCTTATATCATCAGCTGACAGATCAAAGTAAAATAGTATACATATATAGTTATGTATACTTCAGAATGCAGAACAATCACTAACGTAAATACGGTCGAGCGTGGACGATATCGTCGACATCTTTTTACTGTGATTACAAATTAATAAAAATTGAAATTCAAATTACATAGCTAGCAATTCCCAATAACTTAAATAAATTTAATTTTGAATATTGTAGAAAAATGAGAGAGAAAGAGAGAGAAATTTATAAAAAAATTTTGAAGAAAATAAATCTATAAATTATAAGGCTTATTAATTTTAAATATAATATTTTAATATTAAATATTTAATATTAAATAATATTTAGAAAAAGAGAGAGGTTAAAAAAATTTCAATTTTGACAGTAGATAGAATATATTATATATTTTTGTTTCAATAAAAATTGATTTCACACACAAAAGATGATGAAATTTTAACCTTTTCTAATTTTTGTTATTTATAATCATTTTTACATATATTTTAATTTCTCTTTCTTCTATTGGGTGAGAATTTGGTAAAAATTCGTGCCCAATTTATTATTCAAAATTCAAATAGCTGTTATATTTTTGTTAAAAATAAAATAAAATTTAAATCTATCTGATGAGATAATTTAGGAATTATTGTTTTAAATTATGATGATTTTGATGGAGTTATGAATATCAAAGTTAGAATATTCTTTTATTTAATTCGCAACAATTCATAATAAAAAAATCGAAAGGTTTTTTAAAAACAATTTTATTTAGGGAAAATTTTAAGCTTTTACATTAGAAATTCAAAAATTGAAAATTCTTTTGGATATGTGCTCACAAAGTGAAGAAAAAAATTTTCCGTTTTATTTAGCTTGTAGTTTTCTATATGTGAAAATTACAAAACTTACATAAATTAAAAAAATATAGTAATCATTCGAAAGTAGAAATTTCAAGCTTTAAAACCTTGTTTTTAATTTAAATTTTGTTTATTTTTAACAAAATTGCAGCTGTTTGAACTTTGAATAATAAATCACAAATTTTTGCACTCACCCAATATATATATTTACGAGGAACGAATTACGGGATACGAAATTGCTACGAAATCGTTCGCCGGCTCGATTCGTTCGTATTTCACGTATCTGTTAGGCTACATATAAAAGCGGTTAGTGGCCTCCTAATGTAACGTAATGTGCAACATTGTAAATCGATGTTTACGAGGCGTTTCTAACGTTAAAGCGGTTTTGCGAATAATTAAGTTGGCAAAGCAGTTTTATCGTAAGAGAGAAAAAGGAAGTAAAACCGATTTCAGATGATTTATAATTTGCAAAAGGATTACGAAAAAATTTCAAGTATTAGAAAAACAAAATAAAAGCGTAAAAATATACATATAAATTTATATATACGATATCTTGAATTATTGATCGTCTGAAATAGGCCACAGACAAAAAAACATTCTCAATGGAAAAGAAACACTTAGTATTTTAATGACAATAGCGTGAATGAAAAAAAATTTATTGTTCGTTTTATGGGCGCATAATTTCCATAAACTTTAAATATCAAGAACGTGATTATCTTGAATGCATTATCATTGCGGAATTTACAGGTTGCGTAACTATATTTACTGCAGTGTGTGTGTGGTTTCATGGATCGTGATACATAACGAAGAGGCTAATTTGCTGCGAGATTGTCATATGCGACTAATTTGCAACAAATATTGCTAGATTAGAGAAATTAATATTATCAAATATAGATATATTCATTTTCTCATAAATGAATGTCTTTATTTATATATATATATTTTTTCATGTAATAATTTCAATAATTTATCATTTCTATTTCTTATTTCAGGACATGAACAATCATTTATTAATTTAATGAAATAACTAATTAACAATATATGCTTTAAGTACATATAATTATGAATTATCAATAATGAATAATCAATTTTTACTGTACCTGAAACAAAATCAATCCGAAAGTATACTTATATAAATGTATTTTTTTTAATTGTAC